AAGAGACAAGTATCTCCTTAAATACTGCCAAAGATACATTCTGGCTCTCACAGCATGTCTCAAGTTTATAGTTGGCTGAACTCAGGTTTTTTTCTTTTCTTTCTCCAAGGCTTTAGAACTTATCCCCATACCATTCAGGTGCCACATAGTAGATCGCTTCACCTTCCACCTGTAGCATATCTTACTCCGCACAGGAGGCTGTCTGAGTAACTAATGTCACAGCAGGCCAGGGCATACCCCCATCCGGAGGGGCTGATTTCTAGGGCTACTTCTGATACCAACTACTCTCACCTGGGTTCCCCCAAAAGCAGAGCTTGAGACAAGTGCCGTGCTCGGGCGGTTTTGGGAAGTGATTCCAGGGAGCAGAGGAGTGAAACAGGAAAAGGAGAGACACCAATACAGGATGTACTACTAAGCTGGGCCATCGCTACTGGTCACTTCTGCAGGCCTTGCTTAGTCTTGCAAGGCCTTTTAAGGAATCGTAGCAAAAGCATTTTAGAACTCTCTATCTGGAGGATGAAAGGGGAAAGTGTTTATCCATTGCCCCTCCCCCCAATTCATCAATGGAGACCCTACAAACATTGACTCCCCTGAATTTCTATGTTGCATATGTGCCAAGGGAAGGCCATGGATGTCCCCCAGGACAGGAAGTGGGACAGGTACAGGGCATGTGCCTGTGGAGAGGCCCCGTCAGTTCACACTTGTGTGAAGCTACTCATACCTACTCAAAACTGAAGTCAGAGGATTTTAAACAGGACACAACAGGTGCCCAGTACCGTTCACCCAGGTGAGTTCTGTCCATCAGAGCAGCAGAGGCTGATGCTTAAACCAGAGACAGGATCCACCGAAATAAGCAGATCAGCACTTCCTGAGGTGTCATCTCCCTGTGTGGCAGGGAAGCATGGAAGAGCAGAACCCTCTGTCTGTGCTGTGGCTAGTTCTCTTCTATTATGAAAAATACCAAGCGTACAGAGAAGTGTGGAGGAGACTATAACCCACGTTTGTGTGCACATTACCCACCTCTGACAAATTCGAACGTTATTCTACATTTAATTCAGATTTTGAAAAATAAATGAAATTTTACACATATCACTGAAACCCAGTGTTCTCCTTTACCTTGCAGGCGCCATCCTCAATCCCCACCTCTCCACCCCCAAGGCCAGCCCCTATTACTGATTTTGATATTTACAGCATTCCTGTGCATGCTTTTACACCTCTATTACTCAGGTGTGTGTGTGCCCAGTAACAATAAAACATCAGTTTACATGTTTAAAAAGATTCTATAAATGGTACCCTGCATATATCCTCTGGCAATTTGCCCCCCCTTTCCTCCAGCTCAACATTATGTTTCTGAGGTTTATCTACATTGATACCTGTAGCTTTAGTTCACTCTTTCTAATTGCTGAATAATATTCGATTGTATGAAAATACAATTTATTGGGCCGGCCGAGTGGCTCAGTTGGTTAAGAGTTAGCTTAAGAGCGTGAGCTCTGAGCAACAGGGCTGCCCGTTCGATTCCCACATGGGCCAGTGACGCTGCTCCCAAGCTGAGCTGCTGCTGAGCTGCCAACAGGTGGCAGGATGGCTCAGCTGGTGAGAGCATGTGCCACTAACAACAAGACTGCCTGTTCGATGGTGGGCTATGCCCACGCGCAACTAAGACTGAACTTGGCATCTTGAGCTGAGCTGCTGCCCGGATGGCTCAGTGGATAGCACATGCTCTAAACAGCAAGGCTGCCGATTTGACTCCCGCATGGGATGGTGGCTACACCCACCCACAACTAAGATTGAACACAGCACCTTGAGCTTAGAGGCTACAAGCAGCCAACGGGGCAGCCAGATGGCTACTGGCGCCCTCCACAAGGAAGATTGAAGAAAACAACTTGGCTGGTCCCCTTCCCCAATTCCCCAACACTATTCCCCTTCCCCAATTCCCCAATTAAAAAAAATTTTTTTAATAAAGAAAATACACTTTATTTATCTGCTCTTCTGTTCCTATTTAGGTTGTTATCCAATTCCTCTTCATTACAAACAAAGCTTCAGTGAACATTCTTGTACATTTCCTTGTGCCCCTATGCTAGAGTTTCTCCAAGGTATATACTTAGGAAGGAAATTGCTAGGTCAAAGGATGTGTTTAGCTTTAATGGCACTAGTTATTGCCAAATTGCTTTACACAGTAGTCACACCAATTTCCTGGCCAACACATCTGCCCATCTGGTTGCTAACGGAACTGGTCCTTCTCAGGTTGCACAGTTGATTCTGATAGTAACTCTGGACAGAGGCGGCACAGCTCTTACTTATGACTACCTGTCGGGAGGACATAGGGAGGCCCAGGGAGGGGGTGATAAGCCTAACGCCATTGGTTGCGGCCATTCAGAAGCTGAATGAACCCACGAGTCTGGGATCCCAGGCATTTATCACCACTAGAACCAGATACATGGCCAGAACACAGACTCTGCGGCCACTTTTAGAGCATAAAAGACATTCACATAATTTGTACTATGTGGTAAATATCAACAACTATCCACACTAACAGAGGGCAAGACATTACCATTTTATGCAGTTTTATATTTCACATGACACCTTTATATGCATTCCTCATTTGACCCAGACAACCCCATAAAAAAGATTTGTATTATATCCTACCTTACAGATAAAAGTGAGGCTCATGGCTAGTCCGTAGATTGGTCTTGAACCTATTTGCCTTTAAAATATGTCTTTTTGCGTACATTTGGAGACGGGCGTCTGAGAGTTGGGAATTCTCAATATGTGCCATCTCTTCTGGCCCCCTGTACAAGTTCTCCCAGCAGCTGAGGTCACATCACAAACACGAAGCATTGTCCCTCAGGGTGAGCCCAGTTTTTGTACAGCTGCAGTCAGATTGCAAGAACGTCCTGGCTCTGCCACCCAACAGGACTGTGTGACCTGGGGCAAGTTACTTCTCTGTGCATCAGCTTTCTCATCTATAACACGGGGATGGCATCTGCCTCCCAGCAAGGTCACATGAACCAGCTATAGCAACACATCTAAAGTGCCAGGAACACAGAAAACACGCAAATGTTAGCTCTTAATACGGAAGACGACGATTGTGACTTCTGGCCACCCCGGTCCTGGTGAGGAAGAAACACCAAGGGCAGGCTTCAGCACAGCACAAGTCACTGATTCTGGTTGACAGCCCATCCGCAGAGGCTAGGAGGGCTCTATTCTGGATGTACAGGCTCTCGGAACCCAAGCGCAGGACCAGGAGAACCACAGTCAGTGGCAGGTGGAGGTCCTATAGGGACCACTACCAGGTCATTTGAGGGACCCTGGTACGCCCATGTCTTCGTTTCTCTCATGGCTTGAAAAAATGTCAAAGGATTACAGCCCGAGGGTTTACCATGGCTGCCACAGCTGACAGCGAGCTGACCAGACCCTTCTTCCAAGGCAGGGCTCAAGGGTCTACACCAGCGGTTCTCAACCTTCCTAATGCCACGATCCCTTAATACAGTTCCTCATGTTGTGGTGACCCCCAACCATAAAATTATTTTCATTGCTACTCTATAACTGTAATTTTGCTACTGTTATGAATCTAAATGTGAATATCTTTTTGTTTTCCGATGGCCTTAGGTGACCCCTGTGAAAGGGTCGTTTGACCCCCAAAGGGGTCGCAACCCACAGGTTGAGAACTGCTGGTCTATACCAAGCATGTTGGGTAAAGGTGACCTGAGATGAGTAAGGAACCAAAGGGTGTTTTAATGACTTATTCTTGGTTCCCATCCATCCTAGAAGGCTTCATTCATGATTTGGGAAGCAACTCGAGGTCACCGCTGTCCTTGACATGAACCCTCATCATCAACAAATAGTTATCCAGCCCCAGTGATGGAGGAGAGAGAACACACAACAGAAGGTAAGAAAGAGAGTAGGGTTTGGCTCCTAGGCCTACCTCTTTTTAGCTGGATGAACTTTCACCTTTTAAGCCTCAGTTTGCACAATTATACAATGAAGTTGAAAACACCTACCCATCTGCCTCATAGAGCTGTAATAGCAGATGAGATGACATGCATGAAGATGCCTTGTGAAGTGTCGCCTGTCAAGTAAGTGGAAGTTACTGCGTATTACACTGAGCTGTCCTTGCTCTTCGGAGTCAGGTATTCAGCTGTGCAGGTGAGCATGTGACTGAGTCATCCACACCTCTCTCCTGGGACAGGCACACATCTGCCTGGATCACTGACTCACTCCATGATCACAGCCTGGAACTCTATGCAGTCCTCCCAGAAACTAAATCTGTAACCGTGGCCTCATAGGCTTCCTGGTCTAATCAGGTGAGACATTCAACCACGGGGATAACCACAGTCAGCTGGCGATAGGTGGAGAGTCATAGGCCAGCTCTGCCCCTTGCTAGCTGGGTGACCCTGGATAAGTCCTTACCCCCTCTGAGCCTCAGTTTAGTCGTTTGTAAAATGGGGGTAATGATGCCTATGTATGCTGTTGAAAGAAGTAAATGAGACTACATGTGCTTGTTACACCGTAAGTCAACAAATGGTGGCTGCAAGTTCATCTCTATCTCCCTGGGCCTCTAACTCCTCATCTGGGGGATGAGGGACATCCCTGAATGGGGGACAATTGCTGCTCCCTGGCACGGCTGTCGTGAAGATGAACTGAGACCGTGTATGGGTTTAGCTCATGACTAGAAGGTCCATGAGTGCAGGGCTTAGGTTTATTTTATTTCCCAGTGACAATTCAGTGCCTTGTAGAATGCTTGGTACACACATGGAGACACTCAGTAAACATTTGTGGAGTGAATAAACAAAAGTAGTGCAGATTTCTTTAACTTCTCCAAGCCTCGATTCCTCATCTGTAAAATGGGTACATCAACACCTACACCTGTGAGGGCTGCTGTGAAATCCAAGGGTCTACACAGATGCCCCAAACATTCTGGGACACCGCACACCCCTGGAGCCCCCCAGCCCATGCCTTACACCTCATTCCCTAGGCAGACACCACAAGAGGCAGCTGGGTAAGTAAGAGTAACGTTTACTGAGCGATACAGGACTGAGTACTATGAAGGGTTTACCAGGATGGAAATGCACCCCACCCCCTCCCGGCCACCCCCAACACCCAGAGACTACAGTACTTAGGAGTTACACACAACGGCCTTAATTGCTGGATATCTGTTCGTAACAAATAAACCATAGCATATTTATACTGTATCACATCGAGTGATTATAGAAATCCATATATATATTGCTTGTATAAAATCTTTTTTTTTTGTAAAAAATATTAAAAAAAAAAAGAAAGTATAAAAAACATGTGCAGTTGAAAGCCCTGCCAGGACAGCCAGTCTGTAAACATTCAGTGAGTATGTGCTTTGGAAGGGCGCCCGCGCCTCGTGCCCACAGCAACTCCAGCGGGGCCGGCGAGGGTGCGCCCCGGCTGCCGCTCCTGGGCAGGGCCGCGCTGGACCGAGGTGTGTGGGGGCAGCAGGGCCCCACATCACACCCCTCTCTAGACTCACGTCGGGGTCAGGGGTCAGGACTGGGGGCAGGCAGATTGCAGTTTCACGCTGAGTTCCATCCTCAGCCGCATTTTGGTTGCAACTCATGGCTTTTCCTGGCTGCTCGGAGGTCCCTTGGGTGCGTGCCCTGGCAGAGAGGCCGGAGAAGTGCCCTGGGCTGCCTGGTTGGGCGTTTCTCCGGCCCAGAGCCTCTGTCCTGCCTCCTTCAAGCCTGGCCCCAGGCAGGACAGCCCCACCGGCGGGGCTACTTTGGTCTCAACGCTTGGTCCTGGGTTTCATCAGCCTGGGCTTCCCCTGGTGTGGCTGATCTCAGTTCCACCAAAAAGCCCGGCCGATCTGTTGGCTGTGCTGAGCCTCGTTGAAAAGTTTTTCACACAGCAAAGAAGAGCACTCTGGGCCCCTCCTCCTCTTCCCTCTTCCTTGTCTCCTCCTCCTCCTCCTCTACCACCTCCCAGCCCATGATCACTTCTTCTCCAGCTGCTCCAGCAGCGGGTTGCCTTCTGACTCTGGCGTCTTGACGCTGTCGGTCCGGACGATGCAGGTGGGGCGATGCCTGTTCAGCATCAGGATGAGCTGCTGCCGCTCCTGCTTCAGCTCTTCGATCTGGGTTTTCAGCTCTGCGTTCATGAGCTCCAGCCGCTCAGATTCCTGCACGAAAACACAGAGACATGGCTTTTAAGCTCTGGGGAGAGGCGCTGCCTTTGGGTAGGTACAAGGCTGGCATTTGCCTGTTTTCTGTCTGCCAGGTTCCCACTGGAGGAAGCACAGAGCCTGCTCTGGATCCCCACTGGGATAGCTTTCTGCAGGCAGTGTCCTCCACACCTGTGACACTGGCCTGTGTCACCCGTGGAATAAACCCAAGCCATAGCGTGGGGCCAGCTCGGCTCATGGCCCACCTCTATCCCCGCCCTCAATCCACTCCAGCCACAGTGGTTTCCTTGCTGTTGCTCAAATATACCCAACACTCTCCTGCTTCAGAGCCTTTTGCACAAGAAACAAAGGGTGGGAGAAGAATGGAGGCCAATTCGATTGAGAGCAGGTGCATGGAGGGTCTACAGAGGGGTTACGGGTGGCTCCTGGGTGGCAGGACAACGGCAAAGTGCTTTGATGTGTGAGCCCCGTGTGGTCATGTAATTCTTTCTAAAACATGTGCTTCCTGGTTATTAACCTATAATTGTTTATACAGCCTCTTCCTTATCCCCTGTTATCTAGAAGTTTTGCCCATTTGGAGGCAATACCAGTTATCCTTCTGGGTCCAAAATGCGTTTGCAAATAGACCTCAGGAGAAGTTTCCAATGAACTTCCAGCTCCGCTGCAGCAGCTCCAGGGAAAGGAAAGACAGCTGGTTTGATTTGGGGGGTTTATGTATTCATAGTGTTGATAATGATGGTCATACCACATCAAGGTCCAGGGGTCAAAACAGTAAAACAGAAAAGCTCCTGAATGATTTTTCTTGGACCCTATCTAAAACCTTATAACCAGTTTGAGAAGTGGAATTTATTCAAGGGCCAGCCATGTTGTATTGAAGATCAATGGTTCTCAACTAGGAGCAATTTTGCCTCCCAGGAGACATTTGACAAAATCTGGAGACGTTTATGGTTGTCACCACTGGGGAGGAGGCTGCTACTGGCATCTCATGGGTGGAAGCCAGGGATGCTCGTAAACACCCTGCAATGCCTCGGATGGCCCCACAACAAGAGTTGTCTTGTCCAAAATGTCAATAGAGCTGAGGGTGAGCAACCTGCATCAGACAAAAAACAAGCTGCGGTTGCAGCTTTGTGTGTAACAATGGTGTGTGGCCCTGGCTCAGGCCCTAGCTTGTCTCTCCACCTGATGGGGCCCAGGCACCTCTCTGGGTCTCCGGGGCCCTCAGGGGCCCACACGCACCCTGGGCTGCTGTCTTCCTCACACCAGCCCGTTTGACTAAATTGTTCCTTGTGCTCATCTCTGAGGGGGCAGTGTCAGGGCCTGGAGACCTCAGAACTGCTGAGATGTGCAGCCCTTGTGGCCAGACGCTGAGGGAGAACAGCCTCAAAAAAAAAAGAAAAGAAATGTTCAGGGGGGAAATATTAAAAACCAGCTATGGTGGTTTTTCGTTCAACAGAATGAGGTGTGATGGGCAGGCTGGCTTCGTCCACTCTTCTCAGAATTCTGAGAGAAGGCCATCTCTGAGGGCCAGGAAAGACCCCACGTGAAACCATAAGTCAGTGACCCATCAGTCTGGGGCAGTTAGGTGCTAATCTTAGCCGCTGCTGGCTCACTGGGTCTGACGAGCTGGTGACTTTAGGAACTTCTCCAAATACTTTGACCATCAGTCTCTCCCTAGCCAAGACTCCACAATTTGGAAACCTCTGAATCTTTGCCTCTAGGAGTCTCAGTTCGATGTACCATCTGTGAGTTGTTGCTGAGGACCTGCTGACTACAATACGTGCTCTGGGGGAAATCCAAAGACCCATAAGCCCCCAACACGGCTCTTGTGCTGCTTCTACTTGAGGGGAGGAAGGGTCCATAGAGCAGGGCAGAGTCTACTATGTGCCCCTCAGCCAGGCAGGGTCTGGACGACCTTCAAGAGGGGGCTAACGAGCCAGATCTGGTCTTGGGTTTGAAAAATGGGTTGACTCTGCTTGAGTAGAGAAGGTAGGTTAGGGGTGAGGGATTTCAGAAAAGGAGCCCTGAGTGAACGAGGACACAGACATAAGAAAGCTTACAATGTGTTTAGGAGACAAGGTCCTCCATTATGACCATAGATCACTTTAGGACATTAGTGAGGTAGAAAACTGGGAAGGTCGGTGTCCAGCCAGACCAGGAAAAGCTTTAGGGTTTCAAATCAGAGTCTAGAGCAAGTTTCTTATCTTCTCTGAGCCTTGGTTATCTCATCTATAAAAAGATAATGATCATGGGGATTAAATGAACTCAAATGGGAAAGTAAACGGATGGGCTAGGGAGCCTGAAGGAATTTTCCTTTAAGCTGTGAGCAAGAGAATATGAAGAAAGAGAAGAGGAGGCGGTTTCAAAGAAAGCTTGGCAGTTCTTGGCAACTGCTTGGATTTGGAGAATGGGAGACAGGCAAGAGAGCTGCCTGTGCGCCTGGGAGAGCGGAGCTGTTGTGGGGAGTGCTGGGGAAGGACAAAGAAGGGGTTAGGTTGTAGGTACAGTGAGAGGAAGTGAAAACTGGACATACGAAAGGCAGTGTCCAACACGCAACATTCAGTACTGTGTGCAGATCTAGCTCCTTGAAATGACTGCATGTCAAAGCAGCCTTACATGTGAACATCTGTGCACACAGGAAGCCCGAGAAGGCATGTGTCAATTTTCTTCACACATGCATTAATCATAGGAACGCCACTGCATTCTCTTGGGTTTAAAATGTTAGAGTAGATCATGGAATATCATCTGGCTGTCAGAATGTAACTAACTGCTTTGTAATTTCATTTCCTTCTGTTTTATTGGTTGGTGCCACATATTTATTTATTGTATAAGTTGAATTCAGGAGAATCTTTTTTCTAATCATGATCATAGAAGCGGTTTATGGTTTTACAATAGCAATTACCTGATCTGTTTACCTAATCAACTAAGGAATGTGGGCTAGGATCTTCACGTTAATTATGAAGTGAGTAACTCTGCTTGCATTTCTGTTTACCATTTTGCCTTCTGGTAGATATCTATTGCCCTAGAGAAAATGAAACCATTTGTTGTTTTAGAATAGAATTTGTGAATGTGAAGTTTCGATCTCCTCCACTGTGGTCAGCAAAAGCAATCGAAAAAATACACGATGAGGGGCAAAGCGTCCCGGCTTTTATCCTGACTGTGTGACCTTGGCCAAGTTACTCCCCTTCTCTGGGCCTCAGTTTCCTCCCAGAAAATATAATGATTGGCCCAGGGGACTTCAAGCATTAAGATTTGTGGACTCTATTTTCTTTTTTTTTTTAAGATTTTTTTTTATTGGGGATTTGGGGGATGGGAACAGCGCTGGGGAATTTGGGGAAGGGGAACAGACAAGTTGCTGTCCTTTTGTTCTTCAGTCCAGTTGTGGAGGACTTTGCCCCACTGGCCCAAGTTGGCACCATTATT